TTGTTGGGGGAGTTGTTAGGGGGAGTTTTTTGGGGGAGTTGTTTGGGAGTTGGGTGGAGTTGGGGGGAGTTGTTGGGGGGAGTTGTTGGTGGGAGTTGTTGGGGAGTTGTTGGAGGAGTTGTTGGGGGGAGTTTTTGGGGGGACTTGTTGGGGGGAGTTGTTGGGGGAGTTGTTGGGGAAGGTTGTTAGGGAAGTAAACAAGGTGTATTGTTAAAGGGAGCGTTACCTCCTCCAGCGTTGTGTCCGACACACCGTAGCTGGAGATGCCGAGTTCGGCCAGCTTCTGGTCCAGGTCGCTGAATAGCTCCGCGAAGGCCCCGTCCTTGGCCGCGCTGTACGGCAGGACGTAGGTCAGCTCATGGCCCAGATCCTCCACCAGGCGAGCCGCCGGGACGTGACCCTGGATCAGCCCGGAGACCTGGATCACATCGGGCAAGGGGGCGGCGCTCTCTGAGGGGGGAGGAGACTCGTCAGAGCAGCTGCAGACAAAGAAATCAAACGCTCCATAGGAACAGAACGAATCAAACGCTCCACAGAAACAGAACGAGTCAAACGCTCTGATGGTGAACGAATCGAATGCTCCACAGGAACAGAGGACTCACCAATAGTCGCCACCTCACTCTCATGTTCGCTGCCGAGGCCGGCGTCACTGCTGCTGATGGAGGAGCACTCCCCCTCCTGAAACACACAGGAATACTACCTTAAGCACTGTGTGTGTGTGTGTGTGTGTGTGTGTGTGTGTGTGTGTGTGTGTGTGTGTGTGTGTGTGTGTGTGTGTGTGTGTGTGTGTGTGTGTGTGTGTGTATGTGTGTGTGTGTGTGTGTGTGTGTGTGTGTGTGTGTGTGTGTGTGTGTGTGTGTGTGTGTGTGTGTGTGTGTGTGTGTGTGTGTGTGTGTGTGTGTATGTGTGTGTGTGTGTGTGTGTGTGTGTGTGTGTGTGTGTGTGTGTGTGTGTGTGTGTGTGTGTGTGTGTGTGTGTGTGTGTGTGTGTGTGTGTGTGTGTGTGTGTGTGTGTATGTGTGTGCGTGTACTTTGTTCTGATTATTAGACGTCCTCTGCTCCTTGACCTCGAGAGAAAACGTGATCAGGTCAAGGAAACACGAAGGAGAGTTCGTCAGGTTTTAGATTAATAAATATAGTTATTACACGGCCTAGTTGAATACTCAATCCTGATTGGTGGTGTACCTTCTCTCTGAGCGAGGTGCTGCTGGAGGACTTCCTGCTGACGGAGGTCCTGCCCGCCCCTTCCCTCTTCACCAGGGTCAGGTAGTATCCGGTCCCCAGCTGGTTCTTCAGGTAGAGCGAGGAGCCCACGCAGCACAGCTTCCCGTGGGAGATGATGGCGATCCGGTCCCCCAGGATGTCCGCCTCGTCCATGTGGTGCGTGGACAGGATGATGGTGCGCCCTGAGGGGGGGACAGGAAGTTAGACCACGAGACAGACCAAGAGTAGGAAGTTAGCTGGCAGTTAAAGCAAATCCTAGAGGGCGCCATATGTGGCTTACTACTTCCTGTCATGTGGTGCTACAGGGCCCACAATTACTTATATTAGCTGTGTACCTGCAGCGTTTGGTTTCTGCAGCTTTTAGTCAATGCTGCCATGTCTCCTCAAGCTGCTGAATGTTCTCTAAACGCTGCAGGTGTTGTTGCTGAAGATGTTTCTTCATGAGGAACATTTGGGTTTTTATATCTGCATCCTTTCTGAAGCTGCTTCTCCTGATGGGAGAGGTTAAGTTCGTTGTAGCTCGTTGGCACCCGTCGGCCTCCGTACAGTAATAGGAAATGCCTTGTGATGGCTCCACAGCTCCTCGTCATTACACTCAGCATATCTACACTCTCTCTGACGGTCTTTACAGACTAACACAAAGGAAATATTACTGAACGTCAGGACAGATAATGCTCTGCTCCTGTCTCTGTCACATTCCACTTTTTATTCAATCATACCACACAATGGGATAATACTTGAATGATGAAGTCTGACATGCTCCTTGCATCACAGCAGCTCCATGTGTAACACCAACAGACACACATCAAGACTCAATACTTGAACAACAAACATGTAACATCACAGCAGGATGAGTGAGAGATGCTCAAAGAGCCTTTACATCTGATCTGGATTCAGCTCTGTACTTACTGAGAGGATTGTCTTTACATACTAACACAAAGGAAACAGCCCACATCCTACTGGACTTCAGGACAGATAACACTCTGCTCCTGTCTACGTCAAGTTGATATTAAATAATGTGTCAACACAGCAGTCCATCAGCCTCGAACAGGAAGTGAAGGGTTTCTGCATCCCGTTACTGCCGTGACACCTCTAATGATATTCATGCAGTTATTGGGGGAAATTATGAAATAAGCGTATACGAGGCAGCGTAGGGGGGACTGTGCATTTCAAATCGTCTCGCTGCAGCGTAATAAGTGTATCCGACACCTTGAGGAGGAAACTGATTGCTTCTGTTCATCTGGCTAATATTTTCCATGTCAGGAAATAATTAGAAAAAACTATCGTCTTCCACACCCAATTGCTTCCTCCGAGCTGTTGAGAGTGTGTGTGTGTGTGTGTGTGTGTGTGTGTGTGTGAAAGAGACAGGAGCATATGATGATTTTGGGCATCGGACATCTCTTTATAGTCACAGATATTAAATAAAGTACAAGCCCTTTAAAATCTCCAGACCAAAGTGCTGTCCAGTCAAATCAACAAACAAACAAACAAACAAACATCCAAATGATCACACAGCTCAGCTCACACACCGTAACACAAGCAAAAACAAAAGACAATTCAAAGCAATAACAGCAACAGTGTACAAGATGTCAAGACGCTGAGGAGAAGAGGTACGTGTTCTCTCCATTCTGAGAGGTTCCACAGTAACAGCAGATATCCTTCATAAAGCTTCACTCTGCTTCCTCCTCAGCGACCAATGGGTGAGCAGAGGGGTCAGCAGCATCTCACTGTGCTATATGGGTCATCTGCCACTTTGGAAAGCAATAATGAAGTGTAATAATGCTCCACGCCATTAGGGCTCATTGTGGGTTTAGTTCTGCTTTATTGCATCATTTATATTAAAGTCATCAATCATAACGTGCCGCTCTCCTTCTGAAGGTGAGCGGTCTGTCGTTTCTCGTTAACACCACGGCACTGAGGGGGTTCAGGATTGAAATGCTCTAGAAACTTGGGGGACTTTTTGGATGTAACACCATGCTGGTTGTGTCTGCTTCTCTGTAGAAACTCAACAGAAAGCTCAAATGTGACTTCAGCAGGAAGTGAGGAGTGGGCTTTATTATTATGGCGTAGAGACAAAGGGAGAAGGTGGAGCTCTGCATGGTTCTCTCTGGGAAGATTAGAGAAGAAGAGGAGGAAGAGGAGGAAGAGGAAGATGAAGATGAGGAGGAAGAAGCTCTTGATTGATGACAGCGAGCTGCTGGGTTGAAAGCTGTCCACAGATGAGACTGCAGGGTGATTAACAGAAAGAGAGGAAGTGCCAGGCAGAATAAATGTCATCAAACTGTCCCAGCGTCCAATAATGACTCCAGAAGAAGAGAGAGAGAGAGAGAGAGAGAGAGAGAGAGAGAGGAGCTGGGTTAGGGAGGAAGAGAGAGAGAGGAAGATAGAGAGAGGCCATGATGAAGGACATCATTCCCTTTATTACAGAGAGAGCCTCAGGATGCTCTGTGGGGATGATCCTCAGATAATTAACTCTCAGAAAACACCAGAGGAGAATTGTCAAGGTCGACTGGTGTCAGGAGAGAGAGAGGGGGGGGGGTACACAGCACCTAGAAACACAAACAACACACACACACAAACACAAACAATCACAGCACACACACACACAGTTATTGGGGGTCTTAGTTTGGTAATAATCTTCACTAATGCCTAATTTAAAACAGAAACATAAGAGCCCTTAGGGTCCAAACCTGCCGGTGACTAACGAGTCCGGGTGATGAAAACTGAAATGGCAAGCTGGTGTAACAATCACATGCCCCACTAAACAAACAGCAACAACCACACATGAACTCAAACTACATCTCTAAAAAGCAACCGAGGGCCACTAGATACAGACAAATACATCGGATCCCGGACGAGTCCCCATTGGTTACGCCCCACCCTTAAAATGTCAAATGTTCAACTATGCTACCTCTCTCTCTCCTGCAGCTGAACTGGAGCTTTAACCTCTCTCTCTCCTGCAGCTGAACTGGATCTTTAACCTCTCTCTCTCCTGCAGCTGAACTGGAGCTTTAACCTCTCTCTCTCTCTCCTGCAGCTGAACTGGATCTTTAACCTCTCTCTCTCTCTCCTGCAGCTGAACTGGAGCTTTAACCTCTCTCTCTCTCTCTCCTGCAGCTGAACTGGAACTTTAACCTCTCTCTCTCTCTCCTGCAGCTGAACTGGAGCTTTAACCTCTCTCTCTCTCTCCTGCATCTCTCTCTCCTGCAGCTGAACTGGAGCTTTAACCTCTCTCTCTCCTGCAGCTGAACCGGAGCTTTAACCTCTCTCTCTCTCTCCTGCAGCTGAACTGGAGCTTTAACCTCTCTCTCTCTCTCCTGCAGCTCCTCCCTGCAGCTGAACTGGACTTTCCCCCGCAGCTGAACTGGAGCTTTACCTCTCTCTCTCTCCTGCAGCTGAACTGGATCTTTAACCTCTCTCTCTCCTGCAGCTGAACTGGACTGCTGAACTGGAGCTTTAACCTCTCTCTCCTGCAGCTGAACTGGATCTTTAACCTCTCTCTCTCCTGCAGCTGAACTGGAGCTTTAACCTCTCTCTCTCTCTGCTGCAGCTGACNTTAACCCTTTGTATTTAGCAACTGTTCTGACACACACACACACACACACACACACACACACACCCTCTAAACGCTGCATGTCTCCTCCATTCAGCAGCTTGAGGAGACATGCAGCGTTTAGAGGGTGTGTGTGTGTGTGTGTGTGTGTGTGTGTGTGTCAGAACAGTTGCTAAATACAAAGGGTTAATTTAACAGTAAACCTCCAGCAGCATGTTGGAGTCTATATAAATATAATAATTAATAATATGTATTATATTAAGTCGTGTTGTTGGCAGCGGGTCTAATCCGTTTTAATCCCAACAGGAATCCAGAAAACACGTTTAAATCTCAAATCTGATCAGAAATCTTTTCATTACTTCCATATTAGCTCGGTGTGTAAAACGATTTAAATCTGCGCTTAATGTCCTCAAAACACCGGGAACATAAAGAGTGAGTGTGTTCATGAAATACTAAACATTTAAAGGACAGACTTTAACATCCTGCGTCCCACAGAGAGACGGGTTCCCTTTCCTCTGGACACACAAACCTGAGATATGCTGAGGACATTATAATATATAATATATCCAATGCAGACTAACGGAGGCTAACGGGTGCTAACCCCCTCCATCAGGAGGAACAGCTTCAGAGAGGATGCAGATATAAAACCCCAAATGTTCCTCATGAAGAAACATCTCAGAACAAACGAACATTCAGCAGCTTGAGGAGACATGCAGCGTTTAGAGAACATTCAGCAGCTTGAGGAGACATGCAGCGTTTAGAGAACATTCAGCAGCGTTTAGAGAACATTCAGCAGCTTGAGGAGACATGCAGCGTTTAGAGAACATTCAGCAGCTTGAGGAGACATGCAGCGTTTAGAGAACATTCAGCAGCTTGAGGAGACATGCAGCGTTTAGAGAACATTCAGCAGCTTGAGGAGACATGCAGCGTTTAGAGAACATTCAGCAGCTTGAGGAGACATGCAGCGTTTAGAGAACATTCAGCAGCTTGAGGAGACATGCAGCGTTTAGAGAACATTCAGCAGCTTGAGGAGACATGCAGCGTTTAGAGAACATTCAGCAGCTTGAGGAGACATGCAGCGTTTAGAGGACATTCAGCAGCTTGAGGAGACATGCAGCGTTTAGAGAACATTCAGCAGCTTGAGGAGACATGCAGCGTTTAGAGAACATTCAGCAGCTTGAGGAGACATGCAGCGTTTAGAGAACATTCAGCAGCTTGAGGAGACATGCAGCGTTTAGAGAACATTCAGCAGCGTTTAGAGAACATTCAGCAGCTTGAGGAGACATGCAGCGTTTAGAGAACATTCAGCAGCTTGAGGAGACATGCAGCGTTTACTAAAAGCTGCAGAAACGCTGCAAATACAAAACACTGAAGAACAAACACTAACAAGGGTTATAAATGTCTGTTCAATGAGCGGAGGAACAGGTTCCATCTGGCCAAAGATGTTCAGGTCATCATGTGACCCGATCAGAAATACATCTGCTAATTAGAGGAGCCAATGAATGCAGTGGAAGATATTCCCATGAAGAGGTGATGTGTGTCGTAGAGATGAGCAGGTGAAGCACGAGCCAACGGAGAATCAGGAGAGGGTCCACATACACATACACGATACAGGATTTAAAACAATATTCCTTTGTTTGCCAAACGTTTCAAACATGAGATCAGCTTTTGGTTTTGGAAAAGGTAAAAACATGTTTATCAGTGAAAAAGACAGTGTGACCAAACCAGGCTGACAGTTTC